AAAGCCATAATCTAAAGAAGTTGATGAAATTAGGAGTTAAACAGCAACTCGATTAAAACGCTGAATGAAAATCATATTATCTCATAAACTGATTGAAACGAATTATGTGGATTGATTGTTAGCTCGAAATTAACACAAGCTATCCAGTTATGTCAATATTAGGTGTCGCCTTACTGAAGACTCCAAAATTAAGGTGAATCACCTCTTCGTTGATTTCGAATTTTCAACGAATTTTTTTTTAGTTCATATCAGTTCATGATAGAAAATAACTTTAAATTAAAGTAACTTTCACTGTTCTCATCTTGTAACTTCTCCTATGAAAGACAGTGTAGATAGAAGGTTTCTTATATTTTATTTATACTTATTATGAGTACCAGTAAAAGTACTGTGACTTTATAGCTTATTTTATTTTAGGACAATAACTATATTTATATTAGTCACAACAATTGTAAATGTATAATTAAAATAATCATTGTTGATTGAATAGTATTTTAAAAGCTTTTTGAATAATTTTATTTGACTTGATTTATCCATTATGTTTTTATGTTTTATAAGTAACTAACAGTTCTGGTCACTCTTTTGTTTATCTAGTACTATATAAGTGTTGAATATTAGAAATTGATTTCCATCACAGTTTTCTATGATTGGATTTGATGATTAATGAGATTGGACTGAATAGTTTCAAATGAATTGTGCTTTAAGTAGAAAGTTACTAATCAATATTTTAATCGCTGAATAATTCCCATCATATTAAAACACAATTATATGAACGAAGTATATTCTTTAGAATGAATTTCTCATCAGGTTTTACAATTATAAATCCAAATTAATAATCCATAAAATTGACCAGATTTAAGGCAGAGTACATCATTTGGCAATTGTAATATATGGATTGAGAATTGTCATTTGTTATATGAAATCAATTCAGATCGTTAATGTTGGGGCTGTTTAATATAAAGTGTTAACTTAAATCACTTTATAAGTGAAATGAAATTGTGCGATAAATGATCAGAATAAATATGGTCAACATGGGGTGAGAAATTATTGAAAAGAATATTCTTTGTTCATACAATTGTGTTTTAATCGATATTTTTCATATATACCGCAAGAAGTAGAAAATTGTGTTTCTAACGTTTTGTGACAGTGTAAGCACATTCTTCAGAGTAAATAAATCTGAAGAAATGGCTTACATTGTCAGGAAACGTTATAAATACGATTTTCCGCTTATTTGGATATAACAAAAAATAGATTTTCTATTTTTATGATAGTTAAAAGTAGTTGAGTTGATATTCTAATTATTAATTCCCAGAATAGTCCAATTTAAGGTCATTTAGATTGTCATCTGTTGTGTATATATCACTGCAATAGTGAAGTGATGAATATAATGGATATCACTGATATTTCACAAATAGTTTTCATAGTCTTATCATAACTACACATTCTGATTGGCTATCAAATATTTCTTTTTAAATTTAAAATCTCTTTTTTCTTTCTGATTATGATATAAACTGTCTTGTCCATATAGTCTTTGAATCATGCCTTTGTTATAATTTGTCGTTTGACTGCTTATTGTCTTGGCTCTTTTAACGCTACTTTTTGTATCTGGTTGTTGCTGACTGTTATGTCGGAAAAGCTTATCACTTATACTCGGAACGAGGGACCTCTGCAATTCCCACGACGCGAGAGTAAGAACACAAAGACTGGTATAAGTGATGATTTATTAACCACAAAACACTATGACGACGACGATTGTAGTCGAAAATACACTCATTTATACATTGACTGTACACTCATTTTGATTAATAATTGGGATGAAATCACATATAGGAAAAATACTCAGAGTTATAGTAAACCACATACTGAGCATAATTCATGTCAATGGAATACAAGAATATCGCATATTTTACAGAATAAAATATCATACGTGAAAAGAAAACAAATACTCCATTGAGTAATCACTGCACTGAATCAAAACGGAAGTAACCTTGAACAAAATTCATAATGAGTAAATCAATCGAAAATTGGCTTTTCTTTCCATCATATCAGTCTTTAATGTTCAATCTTTTCTACAACTATTAATACTGTTACTACTTGTAATAATCTGACAGTTCTCTGACCTAATACAATGTAACAACTCGAACTAATCCCCATATATTCTAGGTTCTTTGTTGCATTTGTTTAACTAAGACAAAAGTTCTTTCCTATAACTTATTTCTCATTTTAAGAAAGACAATTTAAATAGGAATAACTGACAGACTGAATGTATTATTATTTGATATTATTATTGTTCAACTATTGATTAAAACACTTAAAGCTTTTACCTAGAATTATGTTAGTATATACTTATGTTAATTCATCTACTTTCATGTCTCTATGTGTGTTTATGTTAAAGTAAATTTCAGTTTGATACTCATTTTCAAATATGAATAAAATCTTTAAAAGACTAGACCAAATTCTTTTCTATTTTTTTGTATATCCTCTGTTTATACATCTATATACAAATAAGGGAACAGTAATGATGAATATTCATTTGTCAGGTATCATTTCAATTGTACCTTCATTTCTTTTTATTCCTTAATTATTTAAACAAAAACTAAATCATATTCATAAGTGTTCAATGGTGATGATAAATTTAATAAGATTGGTCAACTTTTATCAATATGATTGAAATAAACGTTTTTTGTTGTTGTTGTTGTTGTTTTGTTTCGCCTGTTTGTTTGTTTGTTTTAATTTCACAGTTAGTAAAATGTTTATTTTTTTCGAAAAGAGAAATTAATAAGAAAATATCATTAATTTAGAGAGTATGTCAATTTTCAACAAAAAAGAAAACTTAACATTTGTAAATTGATTTAATTTTGTTTCTGCCTTGTGTATCCTATTCCTTCTTGTTTTTTCTTTTTTTTTAACTACTCAAAGTATTATCGATTCTTCAGTGGTTTATACTTCATCTACATAATTTTCAATTAATTCTTTGTTAAAAACAAACAAACAAACAAGCAAACAACAGATGATCAGTTAGTTAGTTAGTTAGTCATAGTGTAGTTACTATGATAACAAATTTATTAAACACTTTTGATTAAATTGTCAATATTAATTAAAACAATAAAGTTTTGGATACAGTAAGTCATTATAACAAGATTTTTCTTATGGTGTAGATGTTTTATTTTTTGCTTGTTATTTATTGTTTGTTTGTTTCTTTTTTGCTTTGTAGACAATATTAATTTATTAAGATTTTCTATATGATTCTTATGACAATGATGATTTTCATAAAATCAATCCATTAAGTCATTGACTTTTAGTTGACTAGGTGATATACAATCAAGTCGGTTAATTTAATCCAGTTTTATTTATTCTCTACTTGATATTAGGTTTGAGTTAAGTGTCAGTTCAGACTGTTCATTTTTCGATATCGTTTATTTATTTATTTATTTATACTGTATCTTTCACACTTCCATTAGAGTTAATAATTGCACTACACTGATTGCCATCTCCTTAATTTCTATACCCATTATCCTGAAGCACAGTCAAACAGTAAATCTGTTATTCTATTTATCTGTATAAAAGATAATCTACTAATAATTTACTTGATAATAAGATAAGATCATTTTCAACAATTATTTACAACTTCTAATTTCTACACTATCAAACTGACTGGACATTTAGTATTTTAATAGATTTCGAAAGTAGTTTTTCTTGCCTACTATTATTGATTCTAAAATTAGTTGTTCACTGTTATTGTACTAGCAATGGGGAACTGATTGCTCTCGATGTGAGTCATGAATGCTAGACGCTAATATAGCTGGATCTAAGATGAAATAGTTTATTGATGCTCGTTAGTTTTCAGTGATTAACGACACATTTCACCTTGTTTTTGATGAAATTAATGAAAAATATGTGAAGCATTATCATGAAAATCATTTAATTCAGCTCATTATATATTTATAGGTTTTTCTGCTAAGAACACATATTACATTAATTTATGAATGTCAATGACGATTGATGAACTAGATTTCCTAGGTCTTTGAGACATACAATAATGCTGAGCTATCTATTTAACAATAAAATATTACATCACTGACTCAATCCTTCCCCTCACATTAATAAAATTTTTAAAAAATAATCCCTGATGAAATGAGTGCGATAATTGTAGATTTACTGACATGAAATAAATCATTAAAAATAAAATGAAAGTTCAACTTGAGGGCTTCAGTTGTTTACTGTATCAAATCTGCCTATAGTAATTGATATTAGGTGGTCATAAAGTCAGAAGAAAATCCAGGATTTATGCTTCGTGCTAGATGACACACGTCAACATGAAAAATCAGCTACCTCCAAGGAAATGGTGCTCCATGGTGGGTTTGAACCTATGCCACACAAGTTCACAAAATGAAACGTTACCGCTAAGGACTATAGTATTGGTCAATAGTTAGCAATCAGTCAGTACAGATATCTCAGTTCTTCAGGATATTGGTCGTGGTCCATACTCACTAAAGCCAAGTAGAATAAAACCAATATTTAGGAAATTGGTAAAAGACATTGCACGTAGATAAGATACACATCGAGAAAATCATCAAACTGCATCACAAGGCAAGCTCCAACTTGGAATTCTAAAGGGAAATGAAAAAGAGGATGACCAAGGAACACACTGAGTCAAGAATCGGAAAGAAACATAAACAGAATGAATAGCAAGTGGAAACAGCTGCAAATGATTTCCCAGAACAGAGTTGGGTGAAGAATGCTGGTGAGCGGCCCATGCTCCCCCATGAGGGGTAACAGGTGTAAGCAAGTAAGTATCTAACCACCTAACATCTCAACACAATGCACGAAATATTCAGAGATGTAGCCGACCTGCAAATTGGTTGATTAAATTCCATCATCATTAAAATGACCAAAAAAACATGATAGCAATCACGTCTCAGTGAGTAATCACTGTATTCAGAGTGCTGAACACTTTATGTTTTCATGATGATAATTTTTATTTTTTTTATATTATTTTATAGACACATTTACAACCAAATCAAATACATTTAAAAAATCTAATTCATCAAAATCCACTGTTTCATCGAATCCAAATAATTTCTTACTCGTTAATAATCCAAAATTTCAAGATAATCCTGAAATCAATAAAATCAGTGCTATACCATCTCATGAGACACATTCATCTGTATGGATGTCTGAATTACCAGATCATATGGAATCTAATCAAAGAACATTTAACGCTAATATGAATTATGATTCACTGTCGTGTACAACTATGAATAATTCTATTAATAATTCACATCGAAATGAAACTACACTAAATTATAACAATGAATGTTCTATTGATTGTACAGAGTTCAATAATCAATCAAAATACGACATAATTAACAATAATAATTCACTAAGTGGACGTACAAATTTTACAACTAGACAATTAACTGAATTAGAAAAAGAATTTCATTTTAATCGTTATCTATCACGTGCAAGACGTATTGAAATTGCAGCTGATTTAAGTTTAACAGAAACTCAAGTGAAAATTTGGTTTCAAAATCGTCGAATGAAACAAAAGAAACGTATAAGAGATAAAATTTTAGGTAGTACTTATCATGAAATAGATGAGATTACAACATCAATAACAACTAGTCCCCCGTTATGTATCTCTAATAATTTAAATAATAAAATTAACCAATCTTGGAATTTAATCAGTTCACAAACATTTAATAATCAATTATCTATGGAAGAAAACAAACAATTAAGCCATATCAATGATAATATCATTACTCCTGTTAATAATGATAATAATAACCATAATATTTATTACCATAACAAACATTTTATGGATTATAACATTCAAGATTTACGTAATCATTTAATATTTCATCCCTCTACAGCTTATACTACTACTACTACTGTTGCTTCCAATAGGATCACTACTACTATTACTACCAATACTAATACTACTAACAATAGAAGTAATTCCATGAATATCTAATTCAAATTATATACTCATACACTGCATTTTTATTTCTGCCTTTATTGAATTTCAAACAACAATAGTGTTGTATATCTTCTATTGACATATATTTTCCAGAAAGAAAGAAAATAAAGAAAATTTACTCCTTTATTTCTAATTGAAGAGAAATTGGAAAGTAAACTGAAATAAAATTGAAGAAAATTTTTTATCGATTATAATTAAAATAATTCATTCCAAATTACATTTTAATATCAATCAATATATTGATAATCTGAGCGCGCACAATTCAAATTACCATTATTATTATTATTACTATGATTTTTATATTTCGAATTGAAATTCATATAAAAATTAGTTTATGAATTAATATGCAATTTGTTTTTGTTTAAACGAAAGAATGAATGAGTTATTGATTGAGATCATGAACCGGATGATGTTAGACCATCATTGAATACTTGGAAGCACTGGACGGCCGTTTCGTTGTATTATAGGACTCCTCAGCAGTGTGCACCCACGATTCCGCTTGAGGGATTCGAACCCAGGGATTTCAGTCTTGTGTGAATGAATGAATGAGTGATGATGATGATGATGATGTAATCAAAATTTCACATGGTAATAAGAAAATCAATTGAATTATTTTGTAAATTAATTTTTCTGGTTAATTTTTTTTACTAATCCATAAATTGCATAATAGTTTTCAAAAACATTTATGATCCCTCCGAAAATCTATTTAATACTATTCAAAAATCACAATCAGTTAATCTATGGATCGATCTCTAATTATCTATTTAATGTTTATTATTTATTTATTAATAAAATGTAATAGAGTACTTAATGTATCAATCATGAAAAGACATTTTCACAACTGTTAATATAATTCATAAGATTATGTTTAAAAGGTGCATTTTCGAATTCGAAAATAATAAAATAAACTATAAGTAGATATGGATGGTGGCTAGTAGTGAAATCCAGGACGCACGTTTCGTTCCATTTGGGACTCGTAAGTTGGATGTATCTACATTCTAGATTTTGATGTTCACTCTACAACTCGAATCCAGTATCGTTCGCTTCAGACGTCATCGCGTTATTCACTTAGCTGCTGAGTTCAGATAGCCACTAGCTTGTACAATGAGCTGAAGTTTAATTCATTTTTTATCTGGTTATTTGAATCGTTCCATTGAATTAAACCAATATCGAGGCAATCCACACAGGATGCACATATGTCAATAACAGACTGATCGATTTCAGTCTTAAATATCAATGAGAAGATTCAAGTAAACAATATCAAGTGAATATGTAACTAGCGTTGATTGATTAATGGAAGATAATTGAAAGAAAATATTGATAACACTATAAATGGTAATCTTAAAAAAATCCCGTCGTTTCTTTTTGTTTACAAGGGAATGGACAAAATATTTTTCAAATAGTTAGCTCAAAATGATTATCGTTAGTACGAAATAATGAAAATATAGTTGTCAGTTAATAATTATTACTGAAAATATTTTACAAAATATTAAGATAAATCAAATCGTAAATGTAAGTCAAGTAAAAATTGAATTTGTAAATAAGACTTCTCATAAAACATGTAATGAAGAATGGAAAAAAACTGGTCGTATTGAGAAAAGTGACAATGAGAAATGGGTGTTGTAATATAATCAATGCTTACTGAATAAATAATACAAACAGAGGTAACCCCATAAAAGCATACTACATTGTAATTTGAAAAAGAACACCATAATTCATATGATTAAACATCTAAACTGCAAGACTACATTGTACTACAATCTGATTAATTTCAATAGATACCTGACTAAAATTATTTTGATAAGATGGCGGTTGGAGGCGATCAACAGTAGATCGTAGAACTACGTTTCATGCTGTTTGGGATTTGTCAGCAAATCGTACCGATGATACATGAAACTGGTCACGACTCAGTGATTAATCAATTTTTAAAAAAACCATTTCCTTATAAAACCAATCAGATTTATTTATAATTAGATGACTGTTATTTTGATTCGTCAGTAAAATATAAAATAATATTGAAAGAATTTTTTTTAAAAAGTATATACTTATAAATATTTAAGAATATTGTAAGAAAAATATTTCAATTAAAGGCTGGTTTAATTTAACATCGTAAATGAAATCAGTCTTTGATCAATAAAGTCTACAAAAATAAATCAATATACACAAAACCTGCTCAGTTAAACTGTACTGTACAGTAGACCAGTAACCTAATTCCTGATATTCTAGGAGTTCAAGTGAAAAATAGTGAATTGTGCAGTATAGATGTATCGAGGGTGAAACAGTTGTCTGCAGTGGCACCAGATGATCATCGCACCATATCACAAAAATTGATTGAACTTGGATTTGTACAATTGGTTGTTGACTCAGGGTTCTAATGGCCAAGTATCTAGTCCAAAACCTGAAGGTCCTGAGCTTAAACCATAGAAGAGTAGTCGGTACGCACTTCTGAAGACTAGGACAAAATAGCCGTTTAGTGGTATCTGGTTTTTACTGATACCTCAACTAAGATTAATCTATAACGAATACAATATATAAATAAGCATTCAGTAAATACTTTTAGAAATTCTACAAATTGACTTGTTAAACAACAACTAGTGTTGATTTTTCTAAAAATTTGCATGCTCCTTTCCAGTAGCTTTAAAATTCCTTGTTAGTTAACTAGTCTACAGGCTTCGATGATATTAATCTGAAATTTAGTACTGTTTAGGGTGACTAGTAACAAATAACATTGTTTTTCATTACGAATAAATTCCTGGCATCATGATAACAAAAACAGACAGATCCTTCCACTAGATTTAGTATCATATGTTGATTTAGTGACTAAAGTACATTAGTAAATAGATGAACAGAGCGGATAAGTTTTTTCATTTAACTTTTCACGGCTCTATACTGATATATACCTATATAAATAACAACAGTAATATAATACTAACCAAGTAGCAGTGTAACATGCTAATTATATGACTTACAAGTAACTATCAAATTAATACCGAATGATTAATTGAGCAACTGGAAGAAAGATGAATAGATAGTTGCTAGATTACTGTTATTTCCTATGGACTTGCTAATATATCATGTGACTAAATCGCTAATTAAAAACACCAACGTATATGACCTTGGCACTGTGCCAACTCAATGGCACGTAAATCAGTATCAACAGCCTAGAGTCAGCTCTGAGTTCATATTTGTCCTCTGAAATAGCAGTCTATCGTCTAACCTAATTGGTTCAGTCCAGAACACTAATATGAGCCTCAGCCATATGGATCATATATTTCAAATAAATACAGTTTATATACAAACAAATCAGACCGCACCATACCATAGAAAAAGAAAGTGACAATTATACAAGGTCAGGCCCAAAGTGCCTGTGAGTGTGAGATACTGCAACTAATAAATTGAGAATAACTTAAAAGCACTAAATCGTATAATAGCAGTCAATAGGTCAAATGGAAAATTATGATAAAAGGAATATGAATATACATATATAATATAATTACTAAATAGTTATACAATAAAAATATATATACATATTAAAAGTCCATACATAGCCCCCAGAAGTTACCCATAATTTAATCTTCCTATACAACAATTACATGATATTTAAAAGGAGAATTAATAAAATATTTCGATATAAGTTCAATTTTTGTAGCAGCTATGTTAGGAATCAAGAGATGAATATAGTGAGCATGTGTAAAAGCAATTCAAGTTGGCATAATGAATAGTATCATGTTGTTTTGATATCAGTAGGGGTATAAACAATTTTTTTACGAATTGAGTTCTAGTGAGAAGCAGTGACCAGTCGAGTTCAACCGGGTCTGTTGTGAGATAGTAACTCACCGAAGACATTGGTGGATGTGTCGCTCAGCTTCGTGGATTAGTTGAAGTTAGAGATTAACACCGTTGGATGCCGGCTCAGTGGTCTAGGGATTAAGCGCTTGCACGTGAGACTGATAGGTCCTGAGTTCGAATCTCACGAGGTGACATCGTGGATGTGCACTGCTGAGGAGTCCGACAATGAGACGAAACGGCCGTCCGGTGCTTCCAGGTTTTCCATGGTGGTTTGGCTTCAATTCACTCATGATCTCAACCATTGAAACAACCATAATATTCACAAAAACCCTTCTCTGATTATAATTTATAACAACCGAACTATCTTCAAATGTAAACAACAATCGAAATAATTTAGCGGTAGAAATTTTTTGAAAAAGTATTGGGTAATTTAAATTTGCCTCTTCATAATCAGAACATTCGGTTTCGTAATATCTAGCCAGAAATCAATCTAGAAATCAAATAACTTAATTGCAGAGGTTTTTTCCCGGGGGTGATTTGCTGACTAACAGCTAATTATATAATATAGTCAATCAACTGTTGATTAGTTGGTGGTAGCATGTATTTCATATAAACGAAAAACAGTACTTATACTCACAATGATTCAGTTTGTATTGAAAAACTGATGCATAAATTTAACGTATCGGCTGGTTAAAGTATTATTTTTCTATTTCATTTTTAGTTAATTAATGGAGCATTTGAAAAAAGTATTTATTGCAATTTCCCAGGCCATGGTGAAGTCATACTCTGTAAACATTACAAATGGTATTCGATACAATGCACCAATCAAAGGTCGCCAAATGAGAGGACTATGTTGTGCTAATCAAAAATCTTCCTAAAGAAAAGTTCATGTTGTTGACCAAGAAATAGTTTCATTTTCTAAGAATTATATATATACATATAGAAATTCGTGTTTATATATTTCGATTTAATTCAGCCCAACAAACTTCATCTCTTACCCTTAATCTTGTCGTTAATTAGTCGATTCGGGCTTCAATAATTGGAAGTTTTGCGTATCGGTTTCAGTCTGGGACTTCAAGCGTTATAACAGTATTTAGATTTCATATTAATTTATTAGTTTGATTAATAGGAACTATACTAAATTAACACTAGACGATTTTACCACTATTTAAGAAATTTAAATACTTATACATTCCCTTGAAATAGATAATATGTGCTGATTATGAAATAACATTCCCAATAAAGAACTTTCACCTAAATTTGAGCAAATAGTTTCACAACGGCTGGAAAGATATTAAAAAAATAAATTGTATCTATAAACATCTCAGTAATTGAAATTAACAGTAATTCACTCGACATTTTGATTCGAAACTTCTGTCTCTTGAATACATGCTTTTATAAGGAAAAATTAGACGAACCACTAACCGATATTACCTTTTTCTAATAATATATGTATCATTTGCGGTATAAACTAACTTC